TGGCCCCTCGCAGGACTGCGGTGACGGCAGCGGTGGGGACGCGCAGTGCGTGGCCTGCCCTCCCAGGAAGTTCAAGGACCGCTGGGGACACCACGGCTGCAAGCCCTGCCTGTCCTGCGCCCTCATCAACCGCCTCCAGAAATCCAACTGCACGGCGACGGCCGACGCGGTCTGCGGGGAGTGCCTGCCAGGGTGAGCGGGGCCAGCCTGGGCAGAGCCACTGCGCCTGCACCTGGGGACAGGCAGGGAGGGGGTGGGCACAGGGTGGCATCTGAAGCTGCAGACACGCACTGACCATCAGTGGGACTGGGACAGGAGCGAGTTGAGGCTTTGTTGTGTGAGCCTCTTGCTGGACACAGCTGTGACTGGGGTATTCCTGACCCTCTGGGGAGCTGCTCATCTCTATAATCCGCTTTAGCAGACATGGGGCCAGAGAGGGAGGGGCTGTTGGAGGGATGTCACTCCTTAGCAAATGGCTCGGTGTGAACAAGTAGCTGCAGCGCAGCTTGGGCCAGCGATGAGAGCCCTGCTGCTGTGGGGTGGCCCAGCCGACTGAGCAAGAGCAGGGGGTCAGCTGTCCCCACTGCCATGGGCTGGGCAGCACAGCCAGGGTGGCGGGGCCTCACCAGGGGCTGGGCACTGCTGAGCCCCTCTGCTCTGTTGGCAGGTTTTACCGGAAAGCACGGATCAGCGGGCAGCTGGAATGGGAGTGCATCCCCTGCACCAAGCAGACGCCCTCCTCTGAACCACAGTGTAGGTTGCCCCTCACTGGGGGAGATTGGGGTGGGTGGAGCTGCAGCCCCGCTGGAGGAGGCACAGTCATGGCATGTGGCGAGGGACACATGGGAAGGGGAGGTCCCAAGCCTCAGAGTTTGGCTCCAGCATTTTGTGGCTGATGTTTGCAGGTCGCTCCAGAACTAACCTGGTGAAGATCGCCATCCCCACTGTACCACCACAGGACACGGCCCTTCTTGCACTGACCAGCAGCGCCCTGATCATCATCGTCCTGGTGCTTCTGGCACTCTCCATCATCTACTGCAAGCGCTTTTGGAAGAGCCAGTGCCAGCGAGGTGAGTCAGTGCTCTCCTCCTCTCTGTGCTATTCACCTGTGCCTGTGGTTCCTTCTTGCTGTGTAGAGTATTGCCCTGAGCATTGCCACTTTGACAGCACAGTGACCCAACTTGGCTCCTACAGAATAGACACCTTGTCCTGCTTCTCATGCCTGCAGGACCTCTTGTGTGATTTGCATGCTTAAAGACACAAAGAATCCTCCCTCCTCCTTGGTGCCATCAGGAGGAAAAGGAGAAGGCCATTTTGCACTCAGAACTGACAGTTCCCTCATCTGGGGTTTCACAGGTTGGGCAGCTCTTTGCTGCTGAGGGAAGAGGGCAGTAGGTTTGGTGGCCAGGGCTGGGGCACGTTGGCATCCAGCAGCATGCCAGGGAGCTGCTGGCTCCTGGCTCCCTGCCAGCAGACATACCACAGGGCTGAGGAGATGCTGGGGAAGTGAGCCAGGCCTTTGCTCAGGCTGGTTCTCTTCTCTCCTCCAAGTTTTCCTGAGGACTCAGAACTTCTCGGGCCAGCGAGCGATGTTCCCGACCGCAGCGGCGCCTGGCAGGTTCCTGTGTGAGGAGCAGATGTCTGGTCCCTGCTGCCTGGGTGTGAAGAACCTCAGCCCTTGCTACAGGCAGGCAGAAGGTACCTGCTTTTGCTGCCTTCCCATGGGGAGGGAGCTGGTGCTGGGCTCCAGCTTGAGTGTCCCAGGACCTGCTGAGATGCCCTTCCAGGCAGGAAGGCTGGAGCTGCGTGGTGAGCTTTGCTGAGCCGTGCCTGTTTATGGTTCCAGGCCCTGTGGAAACAGTGCAGTTCATTTCGGACGGGGAAGCTGTGGGTCTCCAGCTCCCCTCTCTCCAGACAGAGATAGACTTGCCACCAGCCGCTGTGATCAGCACTGCCTCCAAGGCCCAGCTGGGCAGGAGCCTCCTGGAAAGCCAGCCCCTCATCCGGGCCTCGGGCCATGGGGACTGCCTGGCCGGGGTCCTGCCGCCCCCCGCCCCCAGGCAGGGCCAGCCGGGCACGGTGGAGGCCCTGGCCCCCCTCTCCTCCTGCGCCTCCGAGCTGCAGCACAAGTGGCCACATGCACCAGTGGAGTGCACCGAGCTGGACCTCCAGAAGTTTTCCTCCCAGGCAGAGTTTGTGGGCAGCGAGCGGCCAGACGATGCAGCGAGCCAGGCAGTGAAGAGGATCCCGGCAGAGAGCAGTGGTGTGGTGCAGGAGGGGGCCCATCGCTTGCCCCCCACCTTCCCAAATCCCACCACCGATATTCCCCTTGGGGAACAGCCAGTAAGTTCTTCCATCCTCATCACTCCTCTGAACTGCTGCCAGGTGCCCGAGGCTCAGGCACAGGAGCTGGGCTTGATGGAGGGGTAGGGATGTGGACTGAGGTTTGTTGATATGGGGTGGCACAGCTGGAGGAGAAGCACCATTCTGTGAGCCCCTGTGATGGCCCTGGGAGCAGTGCCTGGGGTTGCTGTTCTCAGCAGACTGCCACCAACCTTGGGGTCTTTGTCTCACCAGGTGGATGATGCCCAGAGCCTGGTGACTCAGATCAGCAGCGCAGCCAAGGGTAAGTGGTCTTCCAGCCTCATCTTTATTCTCTGACTACTGGGATATCAGAGAGGCAGGTTCTTGAAATAGAGCTCCTCCAGAAGTCCACCATGGCTGTGCCAGGCATCACTTATCTAACTTGTGGCCTTTGGTGCTGGTTCAGAAGGTACATTTTCTGTGATGCTGCCTTGAGTGGCCTGTGAGCCAGTGGCTGATGGAAGCCTGGTTGTCACCAGTTACCAGCTTCCCCAGGACTGAGCCACCTCTGTGTTGCTGAGCTCTGGAAGTGATATTGGAGGAGATGCCTGCCCTGGCAGGATGTCCTGACACCTGCTCGGCAGGGTTGGGACTGGAGTCTGGCTGCTCTGTTTTCCCATATCCTGGCCAGGAAGGACAGGTTCTAACCCAGCTTCACTGTGATGCTGCCCCCCAGGTCTCCTAATTGCAGAGCTGCCCCATTCCTTGGTGCAGTCGCTTGCCTTCTTGCTGGACCCTTCCTTGAATGGTGTGAAGAACTTCGGCCATGTGGCGCTGGAGCTGGGGCTCGTGCCCCAGGTGCTGGGACGGATCTCAGGCTTTGAGCAGCTTGTCGCGCACTTCACCCACACGGGAGCTGCGGTGACCGTCCCGCTGCTGGCACAGGCGCTGCAGCGGCTCCAGCGCTTTGACGCCTTGCTCCTGCTCTGTGACCACTTCACACTCAGCCCTGTGACCGACCACCAGCACTAGAGGACGCAGAGGGATGAGGAAAGCTCCATGCACTGTTGGTGTGGGAGAGGATCCGGTGGCCTTCAGACATGTAGCGTCCCTGGTGTGCCTGGGGGGAGAGCATGGAGATTGTCTTTGCATCATGGAATGGAAGGATGCGAGGGGTTCTGGGAAGCACAGCTGTGCCTTCTCCCAGCTCTGTGGGAGGGCTCGCTCAGGCCCCTCCAGACGCTGTTTTTCTCTGGCTGTGACACCCTTGCCTGTTGGTCACTGTGCTGCCTGCAATGCAGTGCTCTGGCTCTGCATTGAGCCCCGTCCTGCCCCACTCTTGCCATGGGGTCCCTCAGCCGTGGGGCTTGGTCTCCATGGGCAACACCCTCCTATGGGCCTAGCCATCGCCTCCCTTCCATTCCAGCTTTCCTGTCCTTCCTCTCATCCGTGCTGTGCCTTTCTAGGTGCCAGATGCCACTTTCTCAGTTTGCTTTTTGGTTGTTTCTCTTCCTCTGTGCTGGGATTTCCTCAGCAGAGGATCTGGCCATGGCTCACATGCCAGGCTCCACCCTTTGCCTCCCTGTGCCACCCTGGCACCTTCCCTTTTGTGTCTATTTGTCCTGACAGGAGACTCAGCCTGATCCCCAGGATGAGCTTGTGTACATCCTTTTCCTGAGGCTGTGGCTGCTGGCCAGGGGTAGGTGCTGGCTCACTCCTGGGCTCTTGACATGGCCCACAGCCATCTGCTGCCCATCGCCTCCAAGGCTTTGCGGTGGCACAGGGCAACAGGGGCAGGGTCACTGCACTGCCTTGCCCTGGGGAGCAGGTGGCAGCTGGGGGCTGAAGCCACGACTGTGCTCGCAGTCAGTGGTGACATCCCTGTGCCAACCACAGCAGGGTCAGCTCCTTTTAAAATATTTTTCTTTTTCTTTTTTTCTCCTGCCATAAAATGGCCTGATTTCTCATTCCTAGGAGTTGCTACTGGGGAAGGGAGAGCCCTCCTGCTTGTCATTTCATTAGAGTTTGTCGTAGTCCTGCTGCCACTGGGTGCCCCAGTTTCGGTTGTTATGCCCGGGGCTGAGGACTGGAGGTGGTCAGGCTGTTCTCAGTCTGCCCCAACCGTCGGGGCTGTGTCAGTGGCCTGGACAGGAGCGGTGGCTGCGGGGACACGTTCCCGTGCGGGGCGCGGCGATGCGGGGGTGGCTGGGCACGCGGGGCCTGCGGATGCCGCTCCCGCCGGGGTCACGGGTGGAGCAGCTGCCAGCGGGGCTGCGGCAGTCAGCGTGGCTCGGTGCCAGGCGGCACTGACAGCGGTATCCAATAAGTGTCACCCCAGCTGTCCCGACACTGAACCGGTGACGCCTGCTCTGGCTCAGTTGCTCTGTCTGGGGTTCACTGAGCGCTTGCTGCGGTCCCGCCCGTCCCCGGGTGTCGGGCGAGCCGGCGGGTGGTGGTCTCCAGCAAGCGGCACTGTTACCCCTCCAGCCCCCCCGGCCGAGCCCACAGGCTTTGCCTTCATGTGGCCGCAGTACCTGGAAGGGGCGGGTGCCGTTCTGGGAAGGCAGCGCTCCCCCCTGCCCTGTCCTGGGTATTAATAACTGCTGGTGTTTCTTTTTGCTGTTCAGTGCTGTTGGGACTCAAGAGCACCCAGGATGTGCTCAGATAAGCAGGGGAGTTGGCAGTTTTGGCTGGATGTGGCACTCTCTCTGTCCTGCTGCTTGTTTCTTCCAGAGTCAAGGTCATTTTATTGCCCTTTGCTCCCCGAGACCCAAAGTGTTGGACCTTGTGCCATCTGGGGCTGGAGTTAGTTGAACTCTTGCTGCACTCTCAGGTTCTTAGGGAGCAGCCAGCAGTATTGCTGCAACACGCACAGCCTGGGGCCAGGGATTTCATGTTTGAGGTTTCTCTGCTGCAAGGAGAGTGCTGGCATTAATCACCTCACAAAATTCAATAAATATTTAATTCCTTTGTGGGCGCACTTGGTCACTTCCAGTGGGAAGGTACATAACTTCACCCACAGCATCTGAGTAAGAGCCTTCCTGCAGCTCAGCTCACCAGCTCTGGCTTTGAAGCTGGAGCTGGTCTGGGTGGCTTGTCCTGCATGTCCCTGTGTCACTGGTGCCACCAGTGTGAGGTCGCTTGGGGTGCACAGAGCAGCAACAGCCAGATAGGATGGCAGAGCCAGTGCCCTCCTGTCACATGGCAACATCAGGAGCAAAGGATGGGCAGGAAGGGCTATTAAATTAAAACCATGAATAATAGGGACATGTCACAGGTGTGTGCTGCAGGTCCCTCCTTGTGCTGGGCAGCTCTGCTGGTGTGCAGGAGGGCCAGGCTCTGGGCCAGCAGATGGAGTGAGGCTTTAATTCTTTATTTTTCTCAGTTCTATAAAGAAATCAGCCCCATTCCCTTCATAGCAAACTATTATTTTTCAGCTGTTTGATGTCCAAGCAATATTATTTACAGCCAAAACTTAACTCCTGCCTTGATGAGGCAGTGTATGATGTGTAGGGTGGTGTGTCCATGTTGTGTATGATGTGTAGGGTGCTGTGCCATGCCAGGTGTGATGTGCAGGGTGCTGTGCCATGCCAGGTGTGATGTGCAGGGTGCTGTGCCATGCCAGGTGTGATGTGTAGGGTGCTGTGCCATGCCATGTGTGATGTGCAGGATGCTGTGCCATGCTGGGTGTGATGTGCAGGGTGCTGTGCCATGCCATGTGTGATGTGCA